AGAAGATTATGTGATGGAAAATTAAAATACAACATTAGTTAAGCTAATAACATGGGAATTCTTAAAAATCCGTACATTACACAATGCCTTTGAAAGACCTGATTGCTGTGACAATGATCTTCTACTGCTGGTACTCCTTCCAAACAAGGGAAAGTGAATTAACGGGAAGTTCAATGCATATAGCAGGCATCTCTACAGTGATTAAAAAACATCTGACAATCCTCTGGCTTTCCTGAGTTGTAGAGCACAGTGTTAGCTAGACACAACACCATTTAAAAATCAGGACTCTTCTCTGAAGGACATAATCATTTTCACAGTAGGCTTGACTAAAGAATACCCCACGCAGCCCAAAACTGAAGTTCTAAAATTATAGAAAGAAGATGTTACAGAAGGGACATTTTTTCTTCCAGTAAATACAATTCAATTTCTGTAAGTGCAAACAGGATCCCACTCATGCTCATGAGTATCACTAGAAGCAGAAAAACTACACAGAAATCCTACAGGATGATTTGACAGGATCTGGAACATCAAAAAGTGCAGTACAATGACACCTTTAAGCGTGACACAGAACATTTAAGACCAAGTTAAGAGTTTATCAGTTTAATTTTCTAAATATACAGCATACACCTAAAAGAGTCTGCTGATCTGACTAATTCCTATTAAATAGTTTCCAAAATAAATGACTATCTTTACCTCTCAAAGGAAAGAAGTCAGCAACGAAAGACATGTTATTAAAATCAGTAGCAGTTAGATTATGGTGGAAGGTTATCAGCTCTTCATGGCTTGGGAACAATCTCAAGATTACAAACAAGAAGAGGCCATCCAGCCAGGCTAGCCTGTTGCTTCTAGTAGCTAACTTGTCTGAGGGCCTCACCAAGCAGTTTCTTGAAAGAAGCCGAGGTGTCAGCTCTGACAACGTTGATGGGTAGCTTGTTCCATGGTCCTTTCTCAGTTTTAAATGTAGCTTCCATTTGTGTCCCCTGCTTCATGTTTAAATGTAACAAAGTGCGAAAGTGAGCCTGAAATCGCACACGTGGTCAAGGAGACATATCTTGATGGTTCAGCATGACAGTGACGTACAGTCCACAGCCAAGCTGACAAGAGGAAGACGAGGATGACAAGCAATCATGAAAGTTCAATCGCAAATCTGGCTGAAATGTTGTGGGTGGACCACAAGAATACTCTCCACTCTGATGCCCTCCAACCTCCTTACATCAAATGGAAAATACAAAAATCAGAAGCCAGAGGTTAAAAAAGTTATATATTTCGCTCATATTTTGCACTGTGTTTTTTTAAAAATATGCAATAAAGTGGACTATTGTGTGGTTATACAGGTGTATTTTGCCTTTGGCCTTTTCACTTTTTTTACCCTTTTCACTGATGTTAACCTTTATTGCATTACAAATGACTTATTTTACAGGAGGGCAGATCATTTTGTGTGTACCTGACGTGTGCTGGCAGTGTAACTGCAAACTGCAGTTGATTTACTACAGCAGCAAAGTATATATATATATCCATCCCTTTGACCTCTGGCAGCAACAGAGGGATCACCAGGACAAAGGAATCTGTAATTATATCAGCATACTGGTATCTATTTTTAAAAAGAGTGGCATCCTGTGAGGTTAAAACAAGAATTATCAAGGTAATTGAGTAAAAGAAAAGTGTGATGATATCGTCACTGTCTATCTTTATGAAGTTCCTGAAGTTACATCTTTGTGGGAGAATTGTCAATAGTTAATATTGATATATTTTAATTTGTAAACAGATACATCACACACATATATATATATAGTTATACCTGTGGAACTAATTTCAACCCATTTAGACAAGAGGTGCCATAGAATGCACATGGAATTTAACCATTTCTGAATTTAATAAACACCCTATGATTATGTATGATATGAGTATAAAACTCTTCTTATGAACCGTACATGCCTGTGCTTTGCAAAGCAAATTAATGTCTTTTATTAACAAAGACTGAAACATAAACTGCTTGTATCCTAAATCAAGGATTAACATTCTTTACATTGATTAAAACATGTCTTTTTTAGTGTTGCAATTTCAGACTTTTTCTCAGTTTCGCAACTTTGCACGTAACACTGCAGGAACCTCTCAAACTCACTCGGACACTTCTGAGTAATCAGCAATTCATGTGAAGCCATGTAGCATTAATGCAGTTCATCTAGAGCTGTGTTATGGAAAAGAGGAGAGCCTGAATTAATGCACACTAAAGAGGAACATCCAGATTCTGAAAATACAGTGATGATGGGTGTGTGGGTTCTTCTTAAAGGAGGCTAGACCATTCAGTACCGTTACATGTTTCTGGCCTTTGACTTCTCGCAAATAGTGTCATTTGTGAGAAGAAAGTACTGAATATTGTTTAACAAAAACCATCTTGCAAAATCTGGCCAAAAGACTTCACTATCCTTGAATGTCAGGTGAGACGTGAAAGGCCAGACAACTGTAATGTTGCTTACAGTACTGATGCTAATTAAGATGGGCACATCTAGAGGCTTGTTACGCTTTCTCAGTGTGGGAGCATTACTTGTCTATTGTATTGGCTGGAACATTAGCAATGAAGTGATGAAAGAAATGTGACCTGATTTCTTTTCAACACTGTTGCTCTTAGAAAGTTGACCACCCATCCCTCTTAAAACAACTTTACATTTAACAGGATTTGTCAAGGAAGACAGACAGAGAAAAAAGAACACACAGTGTCAGTTTTGATCCTACAAAACCTCACTTTGCGCTTCGCTTGCCATGTGAATAATGCTTTCCTTACCACACTGAACCCACAAGCTGTGAGGATTTAATTGGCAGTACAGGCCACAGTGGGTAGGGCTCAATCTTTCTACTGTAGGAAACAGAGGAGTATTACATAATCCTATTCATTGTGCACAGGTCTTAAACAAATCTCTTGTGACATTGTTCGTTTTGAATTGAAAACGACATTTTATTCAGAAGGTCACATTGAAGAATTGTGAGGGGGCCAAAGCACATCAGGTTGCAATGGAATCTGGAGAAAGATGCACAGAACCTATAACCACCTTTTCAGAAAAGGAAAGGGAACAAACCTTTTCTAGATATTTAAAAAAGGCAAAAAAGCAACCAGATCCAAACTATATTAGGCGGATGGGAAATTCTACAGTTTGAATGTACAGTAGTATCAATGAGAAAATGAGAAACTAATGAAAAATGTGACCCTCTGAATACAAATCAGTATATGTGATATTTTTTGTGATATAAAAAGAAATCTACAGCGCAAGTGGATTGATTGATTCATTTGCCTTTCTATAAGCGCTAGAAAGGAACCCAAGAGCTCTTTACAGACCGATGGTCAGACTGGTGGTGGCTCTCTAGAGCTTGAGAATCTGCCAGGATGAATGAGGGATACTCGGCCACTACAGCTAAGAGCACGAGGGCACCACAGACCCTCCTGTAGGTTAAAAAGCACAATTAAGAAAAAAAAAACACGATTGTTGGAGAAGACTGTCTGTCAACAACAAAGTTCCTTTCAGAGATTCACAGGATTTAAGAAAAGACCAGGAATCTGGGGCAGCTCCTAGAATAGTCTACATTCATGCGGTTTTCAATGAATCCTTACTTCTGCAATGCCTTTCAGAGGTGGAAGGACATTATTCTTTGTGACAGAACATGTAATAGGATGAAAGAAAACCGCTTCTTGAACATTTCTGCTCTTTCTAACACCTCCGGAAGCTGAACATGTCAACTCTGAACATGTAAAGCCTGTGCCATGAATATGACGGTAGCCTAAATACTTCAAAAGGATGAAAATGCTTAAGGACTCATTTTGGAAATGCTGACATATAACATTATTTTACTGAGCACACACGTTAAATGCTTTTAATTGCACCCGTATTCTGGGAAAAAAACTGTTTATGAGATCAATTGGAAAAGTACAGCGCTGTTCCCATCACACCGCGCTGCAGTAAACTAAATTCATAATGATCTGGAATCACACAGTTCAATTCTGTTACAACAGAGACCACCAAAGCTCCCTCACACTAAGTTACAGCTCAAAAATAGGATGGCTTAGACGTACTGAAAGACATAAGGAAGACCAAGATTTCCAGTTGCATCCGTGTAAACCAAATGGTGCATTTGGAAGGCCTGCCAGGGCAGTAGGACTAAAGCATCAGCCTGGTTTACAGAAGCTTATTGGATACCCAACAGTATAATTGCTATCTCCACCTCCACACGATGCCCTGTTGTGTCACCATCATGAAGTCATGGGTCACCTGAACCTTGCCGAGCACTGTGCGCAGTGTGGGACGTCACAGCGCAGCTGAAGGCAGCTCCCCTCACACCAGAAGGTGACATCCCTGCACAAAACTGTCAACGTCACTCATCAGCACGCCACCCCACAAGCCTTTTCATCTCACTGACGGCCAGAGAGTGAGCTTCTTCCTGTCTGTGCCTGTGGTGACTCGTTTTCTTTATTTTCACCATGTCCTGCCCAGGTCACGAAGGCCACCAAAGCTGAAAAATGTCGCTGTGTTTCTTTTTCATTTAAGGTATTGTGCTCAGGCCTTGGACACCTGCTTCGCTCGAGACTCTGCGCTAGGGGACGCCCTTTCACTGCCATGATTTCTGCAAATGTGGTGACTACATTTTTGACACAAGGGGCACATCCAGATATGGTATTTTTTCACGAGTGAAGGTTTCAGAAACCCACGGGCACGGACAGAATCTGTCTCCCATCCATCTTGTTCAGGGGTTCAGAAAGAGAAAAGGAAAAACTCACTCCAAGTGGCAGGATACAGCGGACAAGCCCTAAACACATTTCACAGAGCCACGTAGAGGATAAAAAGTATTGCATTCCTAGTGTTTAGCAGCAGGAGGCCCCTGTAAATAAGGCATATTTCACCGTGACTTATCTAGGTCAGAAACAAAATCGGCCTGGGATTGAAAGAAACAAAGCGTCACGCCTCAGGTAGGAAAGTAATTGTTGCCGAGAGAGACAAGGGAGTCTGACTTACTGAGGTTCCACTTCAGGCCCGTAGTCACAGTCATGCAGGGGCCCCCCACAGGCACCAGGCTGCACCAGTCTCCTTCCAGCCCTGTGTTCACGTTCAGAATGTGCTTCTTGCCCTGCAAGGCAAGCACAGGCGTTACTAGCCCGCCCCCAGAGAAGCTTCTGTGTGATAATGCTGTCAAACCCAGAAAAAGAGCTCTCCACCAACCCCTACCAGTCCCTGTGCACAATGTTGATACAGCTTCAACTCAATCTGTGAGCTGAGAGCTGTGGTCTTCTGGCTTTGCTTTAAAGAACAGGAGGCCCAATCGATAAACAGCAAGGTTTGGATGAATTATCATCTTCTCAATCAATGGCCTGCATTTTTTTAATAAAAAAGAGACGAACTGCTGATTGCCAATGGTGCTGGTGATTGCTATCATTACGCAGGGGCCTCACAGCACAAGTGTCATTGTTCGAGATCTGCAGATCAAAAGATCACCGCGTGCAACACAAAAAGTGACTGGCTGTAGTTACCGTATCAAAATTCTCAAGGGCATTGTGTCTACAATATGTATTAAACATCAAAGGTAAAAAATGTTAATTCGATTTTTTTGAAACTTCTGTCTATAAATAAAACCTGGCTTGTCTGTATCCCAGCCTCTCCCTCGCATGCTGTGATGAAATCGCTCGATGTGGTATATCAGCTCTCCCTTCCTCTGCAGAGTTTCAGGTCTGAACAAAGTGCCAGCACAGGCTGCTGACAGTGTACTCCCCCCAGTGGCTGTTTCACTTTGTTTAACTTTGGACGGCGCAGGAGTGATAAAAGGTGCTATGAAGATTGATGCTTATTAATCGATTCAAAGAATACATCTGTGACAATACATTTTCCATACTTAATCAAGACCTTTGGGATGAGAAATGCACCAGGAATGTAACTAAGTAATTAGTTTTTCAATAAATTAATCTCACATCTGTGCACTTGTTATGAACACTAAAAACATCACAAATCTACTGAAAAAAATACATTTTTAAAAGCGTTTTAAGGGGGTGTTGGAAGTCAAATTGATGAAAACACACACACACAGTATGACAACGTAATCCAGCATAGATCTAATTTTGAATCCAAATCCATTTTAAATGCCTCAATCTTAATTAAAAGGACTAATTTATTTTTTTATTCTTTTGTTTGCCATATCCAATATTGAATGCCAATTTTATCACTCCCACAATGTCTCTTAGTAACTGAAAACAAAAACTGAAAAAAGAAAAACATCTGTATTGAGACTAAATTGAAGGGGGGTACATTGCTGAAATCTTTCTCATAAAAAACAATTGGAAAACCTCACGGTCTGCAGCATCAGAAGAATACATTGATGATACTCCAGGTGTGTACTGTACCGAATACATATTTTACAGTTAGAAGAAATAAGTAATAAAAGATTCAGGGTTGGCTCATTTAATTTTTTTGCATTCTGTATCTTCTTCTGAAAATCAGGTATTTCAGCTTTTTTAACACTGATGCAACCACAGTGGGCATTTGTATTGATGACAAGGATCCGAATGAATTCAAGGCTGTTGAGAATCTTTGTACAGTTCATGTGCTGATCCATTATCACTTTCTTAGACAATTATCACCAGTTTCCCCCAGGGCTGTTACTGACATTTATTTTCCAGCTACTCAATAAACACATTATTTGACAAAAATGTGTGAGAAGCTCAAGGCTCTCAAGTGTAAAATTAGCAATCTACAAAAGAGAAACTGAAGAAACTAGTGTGAGTAGTACTACTAAAGATGACAAAGTTGAACAGTTTATTACTGATCCTGATGGGAACATTTAACCTCTTGTTCAAGGTGAGCTTAAAGACCAAGGCAATGGATATGAGAAGGTCCAGCAAAGTATGAGCCACATTCCACCACCATACCTCTGCTCTAAAAATATTGTAGATTATACAGCCAAGACAATATGTTAAGACCACAACACACCGAAAAGTTCAAATTGTGTGTGTTTTGCGATGTCAGCTGGCATATCTGAATACCCTTCCCCATAAGAAAAACTAAAAAAATACACACACATAGTGGCATCTCCCTTTACCCAGCCTGTGCCTCCCTTTTCACATATAAGCATGGAAGAGTGCAAAATTAATTAAAAACTATTCTCCAATAGATAATCCAAACAAAGGACAACAATTATGTTTTTCTGTTCTTATGTGAAGAACAGATCTCTGGTGACGAGACAGGAGTGTAAAGATTCCGGCCTCTTCATGATAAAAAAAACTATTTTTTATACGGGATAAAATTATGAGATCCTGTTCAAACACACCTGTTCAATACCTTGGTACAACTCAAATATCTGCTACGTGGTCTAAATATCGAGAATAAAAATCAGTGTTTGCTACTGGTGTTAGTAACGTTTTATTTCAAAACACGAAACAAAAATTTCTTCTACTGTTTCAGACTGTTTAGTCTGAAGCAGGGGTGTGTAATTCAGGACAGGAGGAGCGGCGTGTTGGCTGGGTTATGATCCAGCCCAGTTCTAACTGAGCAGCATCAGCCCGTTATTGGCTTAACTGGAACAAGGTGGCGTTTCTTCCCAGCTCTTCAGGGGGAGCTTTAAAGAGACCTAGAATACCTGCAGGAAATGCCAGCCTCCTGGACCAGAAGTGGCCACCTCTTGTATGAAGCATCTGCTGATTAAATTTAGAACCCGGTATCAGGAGTGTTGAGGGGCAGCAGCCAGTAGCTGAAGCTTTCAATACAGACGTGAGGGACTATCTGATAGTTCTTGCCTCATTGTAGTGGGACTAAATTATCATACTAATTTAGTCTAGTCCTAAAGCATCTGTCGCAAGTCTCTCGCCATTTTTCATTTCTTCGTTGCAGCTGAACACGTTCTCATTTTGTATTTCTGTTGTTTCTCTGCATTTAAAGGGGGGGCAGCGCTCTCTGTTTTGTTCAAATAAAACCTTCATGTTTTATTTCCTGTTCTGTGTGAAGGTATATGCCTGAACCACATTAAGCAACAGGCAAAGGGGAAAATTAAAAACTAAATGTAGAAAAATATCATTGCGCATGTACTTGTTAGTGGTGTAGAACTCTTAAGTCTCTAAAGATACAGCTCAGTTTGGCCCTTTAAAATAAATTGTTTACATACAAGAGCTAATATCAAATGAAGTAAATAGGAAATAGCAGTCCTTTAGTTCCTCAGAGTGAAAATGCCCTGGAACGTAACCCAACATGTCTGAGTCCCTGCTGGGTTTTCAAATAAGCAAGATCCCAAGAGAACCATTTTTAATGCATATGTTGAAATTAAAACAATTCATTCCAGCTCATCAACAAGTACTGTTCTCTATTTAATACCCTAACAATGTTCTACAAATGAAAGCAAACAGAAATGTTTGCCAAAATGGGAATTAGATACAAAAACAGTGCCCGAGTTTAGTGAAATGGGATGAACATTGTGATCCATTGGGGATTTTTAGGAATGCTTAATGGCCTTTTGGCAGTGCCAGATCTAAATGCCAGTGGCTTTATGTGGCATTCTGGCTATAAACAAACAATTCAGAGTCATGGGTTTCCTTCCTCTTTGAGAAAAAAAGATGTTCATATTAACCTTGTTACATTGTAATATTTCAACAGGGCTTAAATAAGCGAGGAAGACATTTTTTCCCTGAAAAAGGGACTTTTATTTCTAACATTGGTATGGTAAGCATGGGTAAAGTAATATATCCTTTGCTTCCCTAGCTTAATAACATTCTGTAACTACATTAGGCAAACATCTGGTCTTCTTCAGTGATTTGGAGAAAACACGTTATTAAAAAAAAAAAATTTTCAATTAAAAATGATTGTACGCATCTAGCTCTTAAAATAACAAAAGAGCTGGAACTTAAACAGCTTTAATTAACCAGGTAATGGTTTATTTTGGCTGTTTTCTCTCTAGTTACTCTAAGATTTTACACCTATCCTGTATCTAGTGCAATAGAAACATGTTTTTAGTCTTCAAACTGCACACTTCATTTTAAAAACAGCACTCCTGATGCAAATCTCCCATTCTCTTCTCAGCAGTCAAACAAAATGGCTTTAAAAGAATAGAAAAACATAGAGAAAAACACCCAATACATTTCCATCCCTCTCCCACGCACCTTAATTACTGAAGATGTTGTGAATATTAAACAATCTTGCTAAACTATTTCTGTACACTGCAATGCAAATATGGTTTCTAGGAAACTGCAAATTAGGGCAGAGCTCAGGGGGACAGAGCATTTCTATTAGAAAGATTTTAAGGGAAGGTTTGCTTCAAAAACTTTGAAATATATATATTTTTTGCAAGCGGAAACTTCTTTTTCTTAGTGGGGGACTGCAATATATCATTGCCATCTGTTTATCTGTTAGATGTAACTTTGCCAAGCAAAAAAAAAGAACAACAGGACACTGACCTCAAAGGATTTCAGATTTTCAGATTGCACCACCAAACGATAGAAATTTAAGCATCAGAAAGGGAAATTATTGGTCAGTGTGATGTGACTGACAACGTGTAAGAGTGAACAGCAGGGGGTTGCTGTCCTGGTGCCATGAGGAACAGGGGATGAAGTACTGTAAGTGCAGTTAGGAATCCAGATAACACTGGGTGATGCCTCCTGTTCTCCCAGGATGGGCACGGCTCTTTAAGGAAATCGGGGTACGTCCGTAAGGAGGTACTTGCTCATTTTCGGAGGTCTTGGTTAGATCAGGCTTCAAGGTGGTAAGACAACTGCCCAAAGCCCGTACCTCATGCTCGTACATTGCTGAATAGGTTTTACCGATTAATGCAGTAGGAAGGGTATTATTGTACAGGTCCTTTCTACCTTTGCTGATCCTTGAGAGATTGTGTTTTTTTCACATACCTGCATTAATGTACAGTATTTGTCTGTTCTACCTCTGAGATGTGTCATCAGCTGGGAATGCTGTGTTTAGGATGCATTCCCTATTTTCCCCTGTATCTCCATTTAAAATGAAAATCGAATTTATTTCCAGAGAAGATGGTATACAGTGTTTAGAAACAGTAAGCACACCCACTTAAGACTTTGTGGTTTAAAAACCTAGACATATCTGACCTTCACCTAGTCCTCATTATATCCTCAGAAGATAAAACTAACCTCATGTGACAATTAACTTAAAAATTTGATGCTGTCATTATTTATTTTAACACCTTTCCTGCTTTCTCTGCCACACAGATGCCATCAAGAGATTGTTTTGTATATATCATGTCACCTGTCACGCACAATGAATTATCTTACCAGATACCAGATTATTTACGTATGTATTTGTTTATTTTTTCTATTGCATTTGCATTTTAGAAGTGGATGTTATCTTTCAGGAAAAGAGAAGTAAACCATGTTTTCTAGTATCAGTCTGCAGATTATTTTATGGTTAAAAAATTAAAAATTCTATAACTTGTCGAACGTCTCAGATTTAGCAGTACTTTGTAGTGAATGTACAGACTTTGAGGACATTTGTGAGGACTCTTCCTAAAATAGCATTTTTCTCTCTAATTATGTATTTAATTATCTAAAACTGTATTTATAGAGAATGTTAAAAAATGTTTCTGCATTTTAATATCATTTGTTTTTGCTGGATTTTTAGAATTTTTAAATTAATTTTTAAAATACTTTCAAAGTAAGGCGTGTGGTGGCTCTGTGGCTAAGGATCTGCGCCTGTATCTGGAAGGTTGCCAGTTCGTATTCCCTGGGCCCCTGAGCAAGGCCCTTCACCCCAGCTGCTCCAGGGGTGCCGTATAAATGGCTGACCCTGCGCTCTGACCCCCAGCTTCTCTCCCTGTCTGTGTGTCTCATGGAGAGCGAGTTGGGGTATGCGAAAAGACAAATTCCCAATACAAGAAGTTGATATGGCCAATATAGTGATTTTATCTTATATAAAAACTGCAGAGTAAAACAAAATGCGAACTTTAAAATTCCCAGTTAGTGTTCATTATTTTTCCATCTATGAAAACTGAGCTTCTTCATTAATTTTAGGCCTGATAGTCACCAATAACTGCAAACCACTTTCACTTAACGCATGAATGTAAAAACAATCCATTAAAAATGAACTGCTTACTTAACTTTTGTGTGTGTGTTAAGCATTGGTTAATACTTCTGATATTTTTAAATAATTGAACATCTTGTGCTGAAAATTACCTTTAATATACAACAGCTGTGCTCTTCTATAATGTAGTCTTAAAATTATTACATTTTGCAGATGCTGGAAAAACTCAGAAATATATCCATAGAGTTGTTGCATTTATATTTGGGAGGTGAACTACAGTAACCTCCTGCTCTCCTACAATGCCCTTTGAAAACAGTGTACAGTACAGTAGTTGAAAAACGTACTGCCAATTGACATTATATACAGTATAGTGTCCAGCATTTTATATATAACTGTGCTAAGAAGCATATATGCTGCTCATGTTATACATACATTATATAAGACATTTACAGCACACAGACAATTCCTTGTAAAAAAGTATTCAGAGCCTGGCACCCTTTTCATATTTTGTTGCTTTAAAGCTTGCAGTCATAACACTTTGAAGTAGCAATTAAAAATAGTTACATAATGTAGACAGCATACTGCACACATTCAAAGCAAACAACAAACAAAAAAAAAGAATTGATATGTAATAGGAAAGAACAGTGGAAAAGTCACCATCACATCATTATTCAAACCCTTTGCCATGGCAAACCTAAATTAATTTAGGTGCATAAAATTATCTTAATGAGCCTCACAATTAGTTGAGTGCCCTCTGTCTGTGTGCAACAATAGTGGTTATCATAATTTCAGAATACTCCTGCCTCTGTAAAGTCCTTCAGTCAGGTGGTGAAGTTCAAGCACACAGATTCAACCATGAATAGTAAGGAGCTTTCAGAACAAGTCAAGGATAAAGTTACAGAAAGGCGGAGATCAGGAGAGGTCTATTAAAATCTGAAAACTGAGACTCTCTGAGCAAAGCGCAGTAGATCATTAAGAAGCGGAAACTGTATCATACCACCCAGGCACTTCCGAGATCAGACTGCCACTCCAAACAGAGCAGGCGGGCAGAAGAGAAACAAATGTTTTGCCTTGCACAAATGTTTTGCCTTCCCTTCCTGGGAGTGTGGGGCTTTGCTCTTCACTTGCTACCATTTTCCATTTAGGCTACAAGAGTTTACAATATAGAACAGATGAGTTCTCTTAATTTAATGAGTTCTCTTAATTTAAATGCTAAAATTAATACTTAATACTTAACTTAATACTTGGAGTCTATGCAAGTATAATTCAACTTTACAGGATGTATGCCTTGCAAAAAAGGTTAACAGGAATAACTTTGGGGTGATTTGTTTTGGCAATCAATACAACATACAGTCTTTATCTTCTGTTAAGACTGAAGCTTTATCTACTAACAGAACAGTCATTTGACTGTCTTGGGCAGACAGATTGAATCTGAGTTGGATTTTTTTTTGTTTAATACACAAGACGTGTATATGACTATAATGAGGATGAGATCCTCTAATTGTTATGTGATTGTAACACCACCTAAGTTGTTAAAGCAGGCCTTCAGTTACTTGTGGAATTATATTCTTGCTATAATAGTACTTTCTCTATGGGGGCGTTTCTGTGTGCCTGTAAAGCTCGCCTTGTTAAGTACTGTCTCAAAAAATCTAACATCTAAAGCTGTTTTATAGCTAGAGTCAACAAAAAAGTAGTGCCTAATAAAATCAGGAGATTGCTCAGTAGTAATAATATCTTGGAAAAGTTTAAATCAGAATCCATTCTAATCATAGCACAGAGTCTGCTGAGCAGCAAACATAGATTTTACTTCAATTAAGTGCAGATTCATGTGTTGCATCTGTACCATTTCTCTTAGATTTACAGTATGTGTAATATTTCACAGTGCAGGTCATTCCATTTGAGCAGATCGAACAACATGTATGGGCCTATGTACAGACAGTAATTTGTGCCAGTGAGGGCGTGTGTATAGGGATGAATAGCATACAACTGTATAGCTCTGTGAAACATGGTGACTTTGCTGCTGTTTCAATCAATGCAACTCATGTCATGCAAGAAGAAAGTTTTGTTGTTGTTCTCGCAGCAACAGCTAGAGTTGTCACAAAAAGACTTGAGAACCTGTCAACTAATGTAAAATCTGAATTGAAAAATTAGAGTGCTTTATTTGATTCTTGTCTGCATTCTGAGTCAGGTAATAAAAAAAACAATACTAAACTGTATTTTTAGCATCTTAGAGATATTGCTAAATTTAGACCATTTATTTTCTGACTGATGCTTTTCTGACTGATGTATTTCACTGGGACATGAAATTCCAAATCTTGCCATGCTTACAGCTGGTGTACCTTGAAAGGAAAGAGGAAACTGCATTCTGCTCTGATGCCTGAGGTCTTTGCCTGCTTTCACTTGAAAAGACGTAGCTCTCTAGTATGAGTTTATTGCACAACAAAGGCAAGTTATTTTGAATTACTGATTGTTCTATTTCAATTATAGAATACTATGTTCTACAATTGTGTAATTAAACTTCAGTATGCTTTATTCAAAATCTTATTTTTAATCCCATCATTAATTCATTATATTATGTTTGATATATAATGTATAATATTTTATAATTATGAATCATTACATTTTCTAGAGTGTAATAGATAATTTAGGCACTTGTTTTCTGCATTCATAAATGTGGCTTTACTGTATGTAAAGCTCTTCAAGTTGTTTTGAGATGATACATGCTTTTCAAATAGTTTTAACATTTGTTTTTGAACATGAGATGTTAGATCTTAATTGTATGAAAAAGGAACTTCTGCAGAAGATGACAAGGGGACAAAACTACATGTCCTACAATATAACAAAAAAAAAAACAAAGTTCCAGTGACTAAAATAATTACCCATAACTACCTTTGTTAGAACAAAAATCCCATCAAAAATGTTATTAATGTTATTTTTCTGCTTTTTTTTTTTGCTAGTTTGTTAGCAGTAACCTTTTTTGTTTTAATATAGACACTCCTAAACATACTTTGCCGCTGCTTTGGAAACAGAAGCCAATTTTTTATTTCTCAATTTTCTTCCGTAAAACAGAAATTTCAGCCAAAAGTGTGCTGTTTTGCATTACATTCTCCTGGCTATTTTCTTAAATAATAATACAAAAAAAACCTTGAAGTAAATTCTCCTGGTTATTTACGGGATAGATTCAAGGAGTCAGAAACTCTTTTTACTCCCACTGTTTAAACGCAAGAGGAAACTGCGCAGCAGCTGTGGGCCGAAGGGAGATCAGCTGGAGTGACCGTGGTGATTCGGCAGTGTTTGTCCCTCCACAGTCCTCAGTTTCCCTCTCCCATGCTGGCAAGCCCAGCTCTCTCACAGCCCTCGGTGCGGAAACGTAGGCTGTATGAATTAGACCCGGAAAGGCGGCTGCCTCCTCTCCAACGTGCAGAGGGGAGCGCAGGCCCTTACCGGTCTGAGCAGGCAGGCCAGGGAAGTGCCTTGGATGACTAGGACAGGCAGGTCTGTCATGTTCAGGGCGTGGAAGAGACTCTCCACTGTAGCCATCGTCTGATCGAAGCGGCCAGCCAGCCCTCCCAGGGTCACTATGGCGTCCAGCTGCAGAGGCACGAGAACAGTGATGAGACACACAATTGGTCCTCCAAGGCTTTCCAGTACAATATTGGAGTAAAACTGCAGGTTATTGATTAAAACCAACTAGTGCAATCTTGCTTTATTCTGGTAAACATCTCTTATCTTTACTGGCAAGTTTCTGTGATTTGTTTTTTCAAAGAGATACCCAGATACAGTAGGATCAAGGGTTAAAGGTTAGACAACATACCCCTCTGTGAAAAGGGTATGGGTAAGGGTAAGGGTACAGGGTTTTTCTATGTTTCTTTCTGTATTCTCTGTGAAAACCCATTTCTTCCTGCTTTAATTGTTACACTGCCCTTTCTTGGGGCTACTCAGTCTTTCTTGATAAATGCCTGTCAAAAAGACCAGAAGTTAAAATACAACAGATATATTCAATGGATCCAATATAAACAAAACACAAAAAAGTAGCAGAGGTCAGCTAGATACTCTTACTGCTCTAACTCCACAAGCAAACCTTTTTGAAGAATAATACAACGTCTACACCCTTAATATCGACAGGTTTTTTTTTTTAATTTGCAGGAAACGAACTGTCTGTAATTTGGCGATTAGCAGTGTAGTCTGGTTATCTGGAGGCCCTGGGCTCAGATCTCTAGCAGACCTCTGCCGCCGTGCCCTCAATCACACTACTGCACCCCAAAAGCTCCCACTGTATGAATGAGTCTGCACATCATCGTCGTAAAAGAGAATTTATTCTCAATTGAGCTACTTGGCTCATGAGCGGTAATGTCTTCTCGCTTTCTTTTTCGTTGTAGTGGCACTGCTCTTTTGCTTCCTGGCATGCCTGCCTGTGACGTGTTTAGGGCACATTCTGAATTCTTCAACGTGTGTTGTTCTCCAACCAGTTAACACAACTCCAGGAAGAAGACACCAAGATGTGAGCTATTACAACTCAATAACCTGAAAAAGGTTATAATTAGCTGTAGATAATGACTCAATTAAAATATTATTAAAACAGGCCTGTTAGCATTTTCAGCGCACGTACATCAGCCGCAGAGCAGAGGTATTATTCATAACGGGAGAGAGTGGAGCTAGTCGGACACGGATCAAATAGGTGCCAAATGTTTTTCTGTGTTTCTTTCTGTATTGTGATTGCAGGGCTAAAATCAGTTGTGGAATTTTAGCTGTCAGTGATTAACATGGTGCTGAACACTGACACGCTTCATCTAATGCAGGTAATTAAACTGATCCCAGAGTCATAATAACATTTCATAGAAAGAGCAGTGCTCTGGCAGGGGGTGGGTGTGGGAAGGAAGAGGAAGCTTCTATATACAAAACCTACAAGACTAACAGTTTTTGAATATTATATATGCAAATATATACATGCAATATATGCTAAAATAAAATATACACCATCTTAAATAAAAGAAACTCTACCGTAAACAGGAACCGTGTGAATGATATTTAACGTGGTACACGAAAATTAACACGCCAGTGTACATACAGGCTGCGGGATCGAGGAGAAGAGGACAAGACCGACACAAGCAGCGAAGTGCCATGAAGGTGTCTGAATGGCTCAAGATGAAAGTGGGAACGAGACGGCGGCACGTTAGGATCGAGGCGAGGGAGGAAATGTGCCTCGGAGAAGCCGAGCAATCCGAACAGTGAGCCGATGACGGGAGTTTGCGAGCCGAAAGCAACAGCGACCCGCTGAAGCTGGAGAGTGAAGTCGACGACTTTCAGCCCGGTTGTGAACCAGCCAGCAGAACTGAAATGATGGCGGCGAGCCAGGAGGAGCGAGACTTTCACCTGTGCTGGGGGACATCGAATGAAAGACAGGCAAAGGAAAGCAGACCACACGATGATGAAACAGTTGCAAAGTGTGACTGGCGTAAGTACTGGCAACACGATGGATCTGCAACACGATGGATCTGCAACATGATGGAAGATCTGAACACGATGGATCTGCAACATGATGGAAGATCTGCAACATGATGGATCTGCAACATGATGGAAGATCTATAACACGATGGATCTGCAACATGATGGAAGCTCTGCAACATGATGGATCTGCAACATGATGGAAGATCTGCAACACAATGGATGTGCCACAAATCACATGGAGGCTGGAAACCAGTTCCTAATGGTGGGTGGGGGGGGTGAGCTACCTGAGAAAGATCCGGGGAGTAAGACCTCAGAAAACGAGGATGGTCAACATAAGCCGAGGATCTTGAGTTAAAGTCAGGAGCTGAAGCAAGAAAGCTGGAATCTGATAAGACAGTAACTGCCAGCAGTGTCCATGATGATGACTCCAGGGTAACAGCAAAAAATAACACCTTTTCCTCATTTCAATTCCCCAGATTACTGGTATTATAATGAAGGCATCTTGTGTGTGGCCATATTAATGTGTGTCTAATGTGGAGTTCCTCACCGCCAAAGGTTCAAATTCAGAACAAGCTCATCCAACTGAATAACATTAATCGATTCAGCAACAGAGACCTTTTTTTTTGCAAGGACATTAGCAAACGCTGTATGGGACTGTATATTGGTATAAAAGACAAAATGAATGTCTGAAAATTGCTCATCCCAAATGGAGTGCTTTTCTAATGGGATATCGGTTACACAGCTTTGAGCGCAATGTGTCTCATCTTGACTTCTTTGTTGTGTAAAATCCCAAACAGAACACCCCTCGTCATCTCTCAGTGGAGGGTCACAGCTTTAACACAAAGTGCATAGAGCTGAAAATGGCAGCTTGGCAAAATCTTTACAATCAGGTTTAATTTACTCTTTCATTCCCCCTTTGAGTCCCCCTGTAACCTGCTGCGTGATACCTAGATGAGCACTGTAATTCTCATGCAAATCTCATGCAAACCACCTCACAAAACGAAGGATCTTTTTGGCAATCTCACCATCAGGGCTCATAGTCTCAGGGTGATAAATGATACTTCTTTAGAGTTTCAAAAAACAGAAACTTGACACATAAATTGCTCACACCATAATTTCATGCACGTAATGATGAAACAGGTGAAAGCAAAGCAAAACGAGTGTTCTAAGGTACAATTAAAATGTATATTTGTCTAGGACCTCCTAATGAGACAGAACTGAGGAGGCTTTTAGTGCCATTAGGGGTTCTTAATAGAAATAAACGAGGATCACACTAACATCACACAACAGGCTTTCAGTGACATAAAATGCAATTTTGTTCTGTCAGAACTCAACCACCATACTAAAGCAGCCCAGTGTCAAGCTTAATCATATGATTTATTCAGAATTTATGGCTGTGCCACAGTTAAATGAACAACTTACAGTCCTCTGTCCATCACCCACATTGCTCAAGTGGCATGTTCTGAAATACGCCTTATTGAATCAAAGATTTAATTTTCATAATCCAGTCAACTTTCGAGTTACTTTTTGTTTTCCCAATGAGAAGCACAACTATCCTCTTCAGGCACCGAAAGAGGATCTAGACAACAGGGAAAGGTAACTCCTGAAGAGGGTGAGACCTGATAATAATAATAATAATAATAATAATAATAATAATAATAATAATATAAAATACTTTATTTTATACAGCACCTTTAAAGGCTTCTCATAGCGCTTTACAGAATGACAACAACAACAATTAAAAATAAACAATAAAAAATTACACAAGATAAACACAATGAGAACACGCAGAGGAGACAGTAGATGGGCACACTGAACTGGTATGGCCTTTAGGGAAATGAATCCAAGCCTCTCTGGCACGGACTCCATTTCTGTTCATAACTTCTAGCAAACCTCCTCTCGTGTGGTGAGGAGCTAAATTGGTGCCAAGAATGTTGAACGCCTTCGCAATAGTAGAATGTTACTGAAATCAAACCTATTCTATAAATACAAGCTCATGAGGTTTTTTCTATTGCGTTTTAAAATAAAGACCATTATTAAAACTACCATTTAAAAATGGTTCTATCTTTTATATAAACATAACTATATTTTAGAATATTTTCATAATACCTGAAGCTCACTGAATTGGTCTATACAAGTATACAGTATACTGACTTACGCGTGTTTAAACAAACAGGTTTTAAGGGTGCAACTGAAATCTATTTCATTTACCCAGATGTGTATGTACTGATGAAGGCTTGTTTGTGATGAAATGCCGATGAGTTATAATAAAACTAATTGTAGTAGAGAGCGTGTAATTACAGGTCGACTCAACGCTTTTGCGTGAATGAAACTAAATAGCTAAGGATCAGCCAAACACACTGTATTAAGATGTAAGATAACATATTAAGAGATAAATGTCTCCATTCCTATGTAACAGAGCACTGTTTTGAGGCATTCTGAAGGCAAGCAACAGAGAAAGGACTTCTAAACAGAGAAACAGATTATTTTTTAAGCACTACCCAGTTATTGAGCTACTGAGCAGATACAATCTATTTACTGACCCTTATGACTTCGCACTAGAACATGAGGGGATTCGAGCTACTAAAAACCCAGCACTGTGGTCGGCGGCAGGAAATTGTTAAGAGACTGGGCCCTGACATCTTAAGTTTCTTTGTTCCACAATCATCTTTTCTGCAAATACTGAAAAAAAAAACAACAAAGCACTAAAATAACATTTGAACTCAGATTTTGCCAATACCCTTTTCATCTTTCAGAATGTTTTCTTTCTGTGCTCCACTTGCATGCTGCCCTGTTGGCTTGCTGGATTCACTGCAAAACCCCTGGAAGCACTTCTTCACCTGAACATGAAAGCTCTGCACCAGCGGCAGGTCAGGGCCCCAGAGCGGCCGGCTCTGTCAGGCAGTACAATGGGTTCCAGTCAATATGCCACCATTCACAATTCTTGCGTTTCCATTGCACGGCGCTGCCATGACAACTCATTCACTATCAAGTCAAGCTGACTCCTAAAAAACATTTGCGATGCTGCAGAGATATTGCACGGTTCAATCTATGTTAAATAAAGTGTAAATATTGCTCTCCCATTATGAATTTTAACTTCTTTCCTTCCCCTCATCTGGCCAGATACCCATATTTCTGTCCTTCGTATTGCTAGATATCTATATATTGTAATGCTGCCAGACATCTTTTGTATTGTGCACAAAATACTCTCACACAACACTGACGCATTTAATCCACAAATCTGTAAATGGGCTTATTTTAACTGGATTATTCAAATTGTAAACGCTTAGCAGTTTCAAAAACATCTTCTTCACCTTCAGAATATCACAGCTGTGATGCAATAGACTGAAATAAATATATTTTTAAAATGTGTGTTTTGGATAGCCTCCCCCTTTTCTAAAAGTTGAAAAGACACACCTCGCCAGCTGTGACATAACTAAGCAATTCAAGGCACCGTGTGATTCATACAGGTTCCCCAACCAGACCAGGAAAGCAAATAGCAATTAAAATGAGCTTTGAATGGTGAGTATCATTTGTTGTTTCAAGCCTACACATAGATAATACTGTAGGTGTAAAAGTACCAGGTGATAAGACATTGGAATCATGTGGCTTTGGTCTTGTTCGGCATTGTGGAATGAAGTCACATTTGAAACTTTGCCGTCAGTAAGTACAGCTCCTGTCTCCAGGGCCTGTCTGAAGACCTTAGGTGTGGTCCATGAAAATCATTATTTACTTGAGTACAACTGAACACCGGGCCTAGTCCTGTAGCACTTCTTTAGATTCTTCAGCACACAGCACTTTTCCTCCTTTCAGTCACGAAATGCTACAGTATGTGTGTCTTCCTTATGAAAACTTTTGAAAATAATGTATGTAGTCGCCATTCCCTTTTCCCTATGCCCCCAGCCTATTTCTATCAGAGTCATTCCTTCATAGCCTGTCCAAGAACATGAACTTCAAGCAAGACGTATTCCGTCTCCCTCAAAGGACAGCATGCTGTTACCAATGTAGCTCAAGCTTTCACTCGCCTTTATCCACTTTGTCTGCCTCGGTCGTCTGAAGAAAGAAAACAGGGCGAACTGTTCCTTGCTACGCACATTCCTGTTTGTTTTATGCAATGAAACCTCCAATCTGAGATAAGCATTCTAAGCCGGCACCTATTGCTAAGCCCTTCCATTTGAACGCCAAAACATACTGTAGGATCCCTCGTATCCAACTTCTCATTCTCATTTGTGATACTGTATGCACAGGTAGTGCCAATCCTCTTGTGACATCCCTGCTGGAATAATGTGTACCCTCTTACATTCATCCTATCTGTTTGTGTTAGCCATTACAACATCATATAAACACCAGCACAATAGCTTTTAGAGCTCACAATTTGGTTTGAATACATCAAATGCTTAATAGGAGCACATAGTGACTGGCTTGCTGGAAGATTATATTTTTCCTTTGTATTCTTTATTTGTTTTTTTGTCGTATTTTGTCCATCTTGTTGGAATCACTGCATCCTCTCAGTTCAAATGCCTCTGCACTTCTTTAAAGCAGACTGGAGATGTAAACTCCACCCCCTCCCCCCCAAAAACAAACTCTGCAACTTTCAGCTTCTGCTTGATTGTCAATAGGCTGTCAGACCAGCTGTCACGGTACTGAAGGCTAGTCAGGGAAGCCAACCGTAGTGTGAGAAAGGCAACAGTTTTGAAGTGTGCGCTAGTAAAATTGGAAATGACTTGCATTCTCCAGAAGTTATGGAATCATTTTTGTTCCTTTGCAGAAAGTGGCAAGTTGATTGAAATCTTCCCGGAATGTAGTTTGGGTGCAGTAGGAAAACTATGGTGTTACATTTATAAAATAATCTCTTTAGAACAATGAACGGCAGATTGAGAAGGAAGTCAGAGACCAGGGGGATGGACTGAGGAAATGTACCTGTAAACGCTTGTTCTTTATTTCTTCCACCATGATGTGCAGGCATTTAGTAAAATCTGTTAGGTCTTGATCTTCGGTTTCTATGATCTTGCATTTCTAAAGAAACAAACACCATTGATAAAAAAGAGGCATTAGTAAGATTGAAAAAACATCAAAATATAAAAAAATGCAATGACATTTTCCAGAACTCCAATCATCCTGGTTAAAACAATATTCCTGGCATGATTTCTTACATCGCTTAAAATCATACCCAATTTTCATGAGAAAGCATCAAACTTGTCAACTTTTAAATACACACAGAAGTGGACATTCTTTGTTTTAATTACATATAAAAGAGGACAAAATCAAACCTGGATTTTCTGTTCTTCTCTGTGAAATAAATGGAAATATATCCAGATTCTAGTCAATTATATTGGGAAATTGCAAACTAAGCATTTACAGTAATTTAAAACCCACCTGATATCTGCTGTACTCTGTAATACCAAACAAGAAAACAGACACTTCTCCTTTCCCCCCAGTGAAAAATGTGATAAGTTCAATTTCTTTCTTTTTTATTTTTTAGATAAAAAGTTCAATTTCTCTCTCATGCTAACTGCATTTGTTTAATACCTGGCATAACAAATATATAAAATCTGATAAACTGAACTTCAGACAGACAAAAAAAAAAGAGAACTATGGAGGTAGAAATAAATGATATTACTAAAGGTAACAAATTTGTTCCATAGTGATTATTTTCTTTAGGGCTTATAAAATACATATTTCTTTTAATTAACTGCCTGGATATTCCTCATGATTTATAAAACGATTCCCTGAATGTATTCTCTAAATATGCAAATTTTGAGCAAATCTGGGATACTTTATGACAAATTATAATTACTGTTGAAGATTACAGATTTCAGAAATGTAGATTCTGCAAGTAAAACTTAAACTATGCAAATATATTCAGAAAGACATCTTCTTTCCATTGTAAATTGCATTTAAAAAAGTTTGGATTGCGAACTGTTCGTGCTTGAAATTTATTTAAATGTTGCCGAATGAGAATGACATGAATGAAAGTTTCCTCTGTCTCAATCCTCTTGTAGACAGTCAAAGACAGAAGCCCAAGGACACCCTGCCTGCCTTCCACATCAGTTACTCAGATCTAATTCTGAGAAAGCACGATCTACAGTTCTCAGATCTCACACAAGTCTAATTTTGAGAAACAAATTTGTCTGCTGTATGGCTGCAAGGCAACTGATAGCTTCAAAATGGTGGTCCCTCTGAATTTGAAACTCTAATACCCTATGTATCTATATATAAATACAAATACTGAATCAAAATCAAGAAGTTTGTCTCATCTGGATAACCAACCAACTGAACAAATTAAGAGAGAATGAGTTAAGATAGTGATGTGCCTGCACATTACACTGCTGCCACACATATCTTTACACATGTAGATACATGTGTCCTGTACAACACTCTAGACTTACGATGGGAAGGCTGTGGTTTCATGTCCCAGATGAGGGACACTGCTTTTGGCACAACAGAACCAGGGAGCAGGGCACTTTACTCTGAATGCTCCAGCAAACCCAGCTGTATCAGTGGGCACAGAAAACGGTCTGTACAAAAAACTGCCTCTCCTGTATGTCAGCCAAACAAATGAACAATAATGTAGCTATCTTGCCAGTGAAGAGAAGTGGAAGAGATGTGCACTGCTGTATTTCAACAGGGGGGCAGAGAAAAGGGAGGAAAATGACTTTCCTGCTTTTCCATTCCCGCCTTCACTGCCTACTGACAGACTTCAAAGAATGCAAATGTTGTGCACGACTGGAGCTGTAAGGCATTATACAGATGCACAACAGCCTTACAGCATGTTGCATCCTGAATCCGCAGTAAAATCTACAAGCTTTTGTCCACATCTGTGGTATACATGCACACTTGTAATCCATCACTGCACAGAGACATGAAGAAATGGAGGTACCTGCAGGCTAAGTGGTTAGTTTACATATGAAATTGCAGTGCATTAATGGACGTTTAGCTGCTTTCTTCACCTCAACAGTTGTAAACCTCCCATAGATTAATTTAAAGGTTCCCAACCCTAATCTTTGGGACCCATTCAGAGCCGTTTTTTCAAACAAGCTAGTTGAAAAACTCAATTACTTACTAAATCTTACTTCATTCAGCTAACAAGTCTCTGGATCGGTGCTTTCCCAGAAACTGGAGATTTGAGCTTCATTATAATTCTATCATTATAATTCTATTGTATCCTGTTGCTGAGTCAAGCAAGGGTTTAACTTTGCAACTTTGAACTTAACTTTATGTAAATGAACATGATTTCAGTTAACAGTAAGTGTATGTGGGGGGGGGGGCACTGCGCTAAGTCATTTTTAAAATGAAGTAAAAAGACAAGAACTCGAATTTTTAGTTAAAATGATACATGCATCCAGGTATATTTTTCAAGCTGTCTATAATTACACACTTCTCTTTTCACATTACCCTCTTTTCTCCACATCGCGCTAAGTGCCTTTCAATTAAGCAAGTAATCTGCAACATATCATTGGACATGTTCTACTTGCCCACACAGACACCTCTCAATTCACAGTAATAGTGAGAACGGCAGAAAAAATACCGACTGCCACACATGTGAATCTGAAATATATCATATCTGATATACAGAATCTGAAATTCACAGTTTACAGTTTCCCCAAATAGAAAAAAGCCCAGATTTATCCCACTTTCTGCCACATGTCAGGACGTCCAGAGAGAGCTTCTCAATGACTTTCTGTTGATTATGAATCTTTTCCCGATGTTTTCTTTCCCTTCATTTTCGCTCATCATCCTACACGCCAGAGACACAACATGTTCATCCGAGCCACCAGGGCTTCGGGCCCCTCACTCGAGTTGCTCTTTGTAGGCTCCTAACGAATGCAAATCTTTTCACAGAGCGGCCTGATCCGAGCGACAGCCCTTCCTCGGGGGACAGCCACAGCGCCACTCAATTTGCAACAAAATGTCCCCCCCCCAAATCTGACACTACGCCAAAAGAGAGAAAGTTCAGTGTTTTGCTTTTTCACAAACGTTTACACTTTACGGATAAAAACAATTACTTTTCTTAAAAATTGCTTTCACCGGGACCTGTGTGTTGTTCACTGCTAATTAATTGCACTATTATATTAAAGTATAAAAAAGAAACAAGTTATTTCCAAGTAATGACTGAAATATGGCCGTGCCTCTGAATTCATGAACACTTAATGATATCTATACCTGGCTTTAAGGGAGAAAACCCAAGTAAATGCTTCTATGTTCTGCTATGATAAAGATATAATCAGATATAATCAGCATATCGGATAACTGTGGGTTATTATGGGGAACTGGTCAATCTTCACAAATATCTCTTGACTCACTAATTAGTTTCATATTATTTAACTTTGCTCCCGACTAACACCCTTGTACTGTATAGGCACGGGTTAAGATCACAAGAAAGTCACAGACAGGTTGAGGCTATTTGACCCATCGTGCGTGTTACAGGTAAGTTGGTTATACTGATCTGCTCTTCCAGCCTGTGCTAGGAGGAAATTCTGTGTCAGGGCCATGGCTGGGCACTTTGTTCCAGACACTCTCTTTGTTCTGTCATGACTAAACCTTACAACTAGTTTCATGGGAAAGATCACGGACGATTAATAAAATAAGAGGGTCGTCCCTTTGGTATTCATATGGCAACATTGGATCCCTGGATCAATTAACTACTGAAAGGACCAGACAGGCTGAATGGCCTCCTCTCATTTGTAACCTTATGTTCTTATGTCACATTAAACCAGTCACTGTCCATTACTGTGTCACCACAAGGAAAAGCTTGTGAGACATAATGACATATACTGGCAACACTTCACTTCATGAGGCAAAAAAAAACTCACTACCATAACTTCATAAATACAACACAGCATGATATAAGGACATACAAAAAAAACATATAGCACCAGGACCATTGTTACTGAGCTGCAACTGCAGAAAATCCTCACCACTTCTAAAGTCCTTAATGATGTCTTCCATCATTTTCACCTGACTTCTCTCTACCTGGAGCTCGGCTTTTATCTCGATTCAAGGTCAAAGCAAACTTTGCCATAACCTGAGCACTGCAGCCTTAGAAAACTCTGAGATCCTGACAGCAATAAGAGAACTACAGCATTTAAACTGTGACACACATTTTTCATTCACAATCCGTCTTCTATAACGTTCTTCCCAGCCTGCTATGCTTTTGTAATTTTGTATTATTTTAACTTAATTTCCCCACTTCGATATCTCGTCTAGACCTGCTTGACTTTCCCCCAGCAGCTTCCTGAGTGACAGCCTTGTTTTTGTCTTGTCAGCAAACTCAGTGTCTTTATAGTCGATGCTGATCATGTAGGCATAAAGGAAAAATAAAAAAGGCCCAGAATGCAACTGCGCTTAACTTTTCACATTGCCCAAACTAGACAAAACCGGCCGCATTTCTCCGCCTTTTTTGTGTGTGAGTCCTGTCTGCAAAAAACAGCACAATAAATTGCTATAAACATTTAATATTTTCATGCCATTTACTGTATTTATCACTATTAGCCCTAAACTATTTGAAATCAGCAGGGGATAAATACACAGAGTGAGTCTAACACACATTACCGTTTCTTGCCGACTTAAATAAGCAATTTCTTTTTATTCAATTTTGTTTGAATACCTTCTCCTTGTAAAATTCCTTGACTTCTGGTTTAATGGAATCAAAGTCCCCACTGATGTAGTCCGGAAGAAACCTGGGAGTGGAAAAAAAGGGAAAAGTAAACAAAATGATCTCCAGGGGTGAAAGCTTTTTTAAAATGTCTTGTACAGGCTCAGTCGATTCACAGAGGCCTTCTTTACAAGAGCCATTGGGGTGCAGTTATCTCCCCCATCTACATGGTAGAAGCAGGAAAGCAATGGTCTGACAGAAGACAAAGTGAAGTGCATGGCATTTCTGTTTTACTTAACCCTAAAAAGAGAACTTTCAACACACGAGGCTTTGAGAAATGTGGCGATATTAACATGACGGTGTCATCTACAGTCCATGTGCAGACACTACACATGGGTGGTTAGATTTATGAGATCACTAGGAAATTTTACACCATAATACAGCCTAATAAGGGGAAAAAAATCTGAATAAATTGAGCGGAACATTAATACATTTGTGCAGGCGATGCACTGCCAACATCTCTCATCAAAATCCTCCTGTGCCAGGAGTGATCACAATGTAGGTAGTGGATACAAAATTGGAAACACTTGGGTAAATGAAGGACACAAAGTCCCTTTGAAAGCAAGGGCTTCCACTCCAGCATGGCTCATGCATAAGGGTCATGTAAAAAGATGCTGGATGGGCCTGGTTGCCTATAACTATTGATTAGCATGGTTGCCAGAGGAGACTTTCAAATGGGCTGGGGCATGTTTGGTAATTGTTGGGGTGTGGTTTGAAAGGTAATGAAGTGATGAAGATGGCTTGATTTGCTACTGTTCCATAAGCAACGGTGTCTAAGGTGATCTCAGCATAAAATTCTAGTTACCTATCAATTTATCTACATACTTTTTAAAGTGCATTATATTTAAGCAGGGATTAGAGGCATACATTGAATTGTCCCAGATATTCAATCTCAGCATATTGTTTCAAAGTCTGAAAAGATCAATCATATAATCAGACTAAAACGGGTAACAAATGGAGCACTGTGATCAAATATATTAATTGATATTTATATTTTTATGGCTCATGTGATTTACATGAATTGTGTTAAAATCTTATGTACATGTTTAGTCTTTAATGCAAAAATGCACTTGCGTAATTAATGTAGAAATCGGACAATTAAAGCTTAAGAAGTAAATAAACATTTCCACTCTTTTGTGTACCTGGAGTGAATGCACATTTCTTAAAAACACAATATGTTTGCAATAAATAACGACAGACTGAATCTTAGTAAAGTTAACGTCTTTTAAAGATTTATATGAATGCCAATGAAACATGATGGTCTTAATCCCTATCCCTAGGGTAGCTCACATTCCACCAATATTATGGACCTAACAAAAATGTTGCAGTATCTGTTCAGATAAGTGCACCTTGTGGTGTTTCAGGATCCAAGGTTCTTTAGGTTCTAGGATCTGTTCAGCTCAAGCATAACAGAACTTCTCACTGCAACGAATACAGTATACTGCCCCTTCATGATGAGCAAGTACTGCCGTCATGTGGAAATGCTTGGGCTGTACTCAGTCATGTAAGGCTCACCTTTTTACAGCAAGTTTAATTGAACACTACGGAAATATTAGAAATGTAGAATGAACTATAATGCTTAAAGGAAGGGGACTTTATTTGTACTGACCCATAACTAGAATAACCGGAATTAAAGCAGAACCAAACTATTACATTGTGTGACACTAGAGGAAGGCTCCACGGCTGAAAAGATGTGTTTCCTTTCCTCTCTTTTCAGCATGGAAAAAATCCTTTCTTTTTCCTTTGCAGCCCATGCATGCTGACGTAGACTGCAAGAACATTAATTGTTTTAATGAAGAAACATTAATAGAAGAAAAATGTACTCATGGTCCTTAACATGCTTGAGACAGGGAGCTAGGATCGTAGAGCAAGCCAGAAAACCCTCTTCAAAGGTAAGCTTTGGAAACAATATTAAAACAACTGTTTCTGAATTCTTCTGTGAAGTTGAGACATTAAACTGTGTTAACATGTCATATTTTCATCAATTCATTATGTTGCACTGAAAAAAACATTCCAGAAGATCAATAGTTAAAGAGTCATTTTGAAAGACTAATGGATTTTAAAAGCTTCAATTTTCTCTCGGCATGTTATCCTCCCCAAATGAATCACTGGTAAACAGGAGGACATAAATAACCTTCAGAGACAACAGGTCAGCTGCGACATTAAATGGATACTGAATGAGACCTTTCCTCTTGACATTTCGTAAGCAATGCACTTTCCTCTCCATTGGCAATAACACAAATTGAAGGCAAAACGTGCAATTTCACATTTAAATTAAAGTGTCACTTAAAATTAATATAAATGTGGAGGCTCTGTACTCCTAACAAACAACCACAGTTTAGGCATTCGCCTTCCCAATTAAAATAAAAAATTGAAGTCATTTCAGGAGGTCAAAACAAAGCGAGATGCACACACCCTGACAGGCTTCCTTTGTTATGCTTTATGGTCAATCTTTTCTCTCACATTGCAAAAATAAAAATAAAAACAGCACTTTTCATTACCAGAAGTCTGAAATGCAGGTTTTGTAATTCCTTTTCACAGATTTTATTGTGAGCTCATTTTTATTTTGTAGACAAAGGTCTTGGACGTCTGCTTTTTTACAACAGAAAAAAAACACGTTTTCATGTCTGAGGTTATTTTAAATGTATGAGATAAAGTCAAAAGTTAAAGTTGCATTAAAAGCTTATCCTATTGTAACGGTGTCAAGAGCAACAGTAAAATATTTTTCCATCCTTTCTGCAGGGCTAAAGTATTAAAGTATATTTTGAAGCGCACAGACATCATAATAAAATTTCCCCTTAGACTCTCATTTCACTTATAATTATATTCATTTCACTGATATGTTTATGATTCACAGCACAATACTGACAGAAAGTCAGAGCACTAGCGCAATGAACCATACCCCTTATGCGCAAGTCTTATAGATCATTAATCTTCATGTACAGCCACTGTTCTCTGAACTTACAGTGATTAAAGATCAAGCACCCCCGCAGGGGACCCATGAAAAGGTGTGCATTTAGGTGTTAGGAGAGTAAGGGATTCCTTACACAAAGGCTTGCTGGAGTCTGCAACAGGCTGCTCAGCCATCTTATCGAGGTACGCTCCCTGGTTTCCTTCAAGAAACAGGTCCAAATGAGCAAGACAGACCCAGATGACCTACTCTCATCCCTGACTTCTCTTATAACCTTGTGTATGTTTCTGCACTGGTGAGAGACGGCGCAATGCAGTTCGTAGAATCACTGGGTACTCATCCATGCAGAGGTAAAACATGACTTTACAGAGAAGCAGCAACACTGAGACATCAAGCTGATTACTATTGACATTGTAATTTTTTATCTCAATATGGGTGAAGCAATTTTCCAACATCACCTAATACCATCTGTGCATATTTGTTATTGTCAAGTGGCTTGAGGCAATACCCAGTATCATATAATATAATACAGTTCTGCAATTCATTCATCCTTATAGGCTTCATTTAAAATTGACATCCTAGACCTCTAAGAACATAACAATATAAGAGGAAAAGAAATGAGAATAGGCCAGTTAGTTGACTGACGTTACTGTGAAGTTATAGACCGAAGGTTTCACCTACTGTAGCTGTTTCTTCAAGGTTCTGAGGGAACTTACTTCAAAAGCGTAGTTTGGCAGCCTGTTCCCCACACCAGACACCCCTTGTGACCAAGGTGCTTCATGTCCTCTGCTGTAAATACACTTTCTTATAGTTTCCAGTTGCAAAGATATCTGAGTGATGCCTCTGTGCACCAAGGTATAAGACTAAATTTCCAAGAAATTGTGTCTTCCTCTGGGCAATTACACTTTTGAATCATGTATAATAGTTATATCTTTTATTACAGTTTTTACAGGAGATGTTCTTGAAATGGAAAATTGTTTGTCCTGACCTTCCCGTTGGTGACGGTTATGATGTTGCATTGTAGTGTGCGTTGGACTTTGCCATAATACAAGTTTTCCCTTGGGAATAGCAAGAAAGTTAGAACAGAATTAAATTGCCTCAAATTAAAGGTTTCTCCCCTTATCAATGCTGCATGCAATCAGCGCTTTTCACATTTCTCGATCCATTTACATTCACAGCCTTTGATTCCTATACCTTTCAACCTCTGACTAAATGGCCGCAGCTCATTTGTAGCCATTCTTATGGTCCAGCATCTTGTCAGGAACTTTATCCAGTGCCTTTAGGAAATCTCAGTCCACTACATCACAAGATCTGCTCGCATCCATCACTGCTGTTGCTTGAACTAAGCAGTCCAACAAGTTAGTTAAACAGGAACTGCCTTTTCTAAACTCAAGCACTGCAGTCAGTCCTATTTTGAGCCAATTGTTTGGTCAAATCCACCACCAAGAGCGCAGGATTAATCTCCACGCTGGTAGATTACAGGATCAGGCTAGGAGCTGCCTGAGGCAGTGCTGATTGGGAAGAGCACTGTTCAGGCCGGGTAAGGCAGTATTTGTAGCAGGATTCTGAGCTTACCACGCACTGCACAACAGCTCTTATGTGACTTAAAAGTGCCTGATCTCGATTTGATATTTCAGCTGTGCTGTTTCCATTCTCCATTCATAGTGCAAAGAATAAATAAAAAAAAACACCCAGAAGCACATCTTGCAGGACCAGTGAGCATTGGTGTTCCTCACAATGGAAACAATGGGCCTGTTGATTCTGAGCGAACTAATTCCACTAGAACCAACAGAGCTATGTAATGCACATGAAGAAACAACTCCCCTTTCTTGCAAACCCATCTTCAGCTGCTCTGGAGTAAGACGTAAAGAAGCCAGAACAAATAAGCTGCCACTCAGTTAATTTGAAGAAATGAACAAATGGAAATGTGCTGGAATGAAATGAACACGCGGACGGTCTTTAAATAACTTGAGATGACATTCATACACATGTACTGTAAGTATGTCTGAAGTACAAGGGGGGGGGGGCTTCATATTCAGGATATGACTTTTCAACTTATCCTATAAATAATAATTAGCTTATCAAACATAAGCAATGAACTAGATTTGTTTTTG